CGGCTGCGGGGAGCTGCGGCAGCATCGCCAGCGCGGCGGCGGGGCCTGGTTTTGTTTAATTCCTGCACCTGCCGAGCACAAAAGCTCGCCGGGCTCGTGGTGACGGGCTGCTCAGCTATTTTGACTCCTTCTTCCCGCCGCAGCGGCAATATTTGGATCAGCGGAGAGCTTCCCTCCCCGAGCAGGAGATGATAGCCCAGCCCACGGCGGCAGAGCCGGGACTGGGAGCCTGTCCGTCCGTCCGTCCGTCCGTCCGTGCGTGCGGCGGGCAGGGAGCGCTGCCCCCTCCCCGTCCTGCACAGCCTGGGCGCGCTCGGTGGCGCCGGGCGAGCGAGCATCATCCCTCCAGCCCCCGCCGCGGAGTGTGGACGCTGTTACTTTCTGGGGGATTGTGTTTCACTCCCTGCCCTTTCTCCCTCTGCCCCTTTGGGTTTTCCAGGCCTACGTTCCTGGTGGCAGTTCCCTGGAACATCAGGCCTGGAGCAAACGTGACTGTTGGGGTAACTCTGCTGCCGGACAGCCCAGCCCAGGTCACTGTAAGGGGAGAAGTGATCAGAGATAACGAGACAATCTTGAGAGGGGAAATGGTCTTTGAGAAAGGTAAGAGAATAAAGTTGGCCTGGAAGGATTTAGATTTGCATTCTGCCACAAATACTTGGTTGTTCCCAAAATACCACGGCTTCTAAACAGTACTAAAGTAGGAACTTTAGTTTACCAAGTAGGGATCACTTACGGGAAAACAATCTTGTACTCTGCTGGCTCTGCGTGCAGGTGGGCAGCTGCGCTGGATAAATGAGTGGTTGCATGGGTGTGCTAACTCATTGTAAACTCTGACAGTAATCAGGTAGTAGCAGAGTGTGATGGTTGTGGGGTTTCTGAGGAGCAGGGAAGCACTCTGGTCAATGTAGTGGGGCCATAAAGAAGAAGTAGTAGAGGAAGAGGTGTTCATTGCTAGGCTTAAGGCGCAAGGTGGAAGCAAGCGGGGTAATGGTAAGGGTGGAACAAAAGGTAAGACAGCATCTGGAGCTGGCTGCTTCTTATGCCCTAAGAAAGAGGGTACCTGAGGACAATAGGAAAGTGGAGGTGACCATGTCAGACACCATTACATGGAAGCTCTGTGTATTTGCAGAAACAGAAGGTTCTGAGAATTAAGAAATGAATTGTAAGACAGGTTGGGGACTGAATATAAGTGCACCTTAGAGCAGGCTGATTTAATAATGTATGCCCCCTGGGCAGCAGTAGAGGATGTGGTGGCATTTCTGAGTAGCTGAAGAACTGTGATATCCTGGTCAGTGTTCCTTTTTTTAAAGGCCCTCACAGGAAAGAAAATATTTTGTCTGGTTAATCTAGCTTTCAAACTGCTCTTAGTATGAAGCAATATAAATGACACCCAAACTCTAGCTTTGTATTTGTCAAAAGTAGAGTCTGGGGGCAGTATGAGGTCCTAGAAAAATCTACCCTGTTCTAATGCGCTTTCTTCTTGTTGAGGTCAATTAGTTTTTCTATGAATTTCTTATTGTTAATGCAGATGCCTTCATTGGAAGCATCATATTTTCAGTTCAAAGCCTTCATGAAAGCCCACCTCTCTTCACAACCTTTAGGGGAGACTGAGGCTTTGAGTGTGATGGAGTGCATTTGACCAGATAAAAAATTAATGGCCCCATGATGCAGAAAAGCATATCTGATCACAGGTCTTCTTGCTATTTCAAATATTCTGAAAAAGTTGTCCAGAACTATGTATTAGCAGGTTTTACTTCAGGTTGGGTATTGTTTATCCACTCTAATTTTATGTTGTTATCAGGTATATGTCATCCAGCAGCCAGTGTAAAAGCATAAATCTGAGGCAAATTTCCTGTAGTGCTATAGCTAATTAAAAAAAAAAAAAAGTGTTCATTTCTGATTTAAATAAAGTTTATACACCTGCTCTATTAGTGACCAAATCTAACACTAATAGTTGTGGTGATGTATGCCTAAGGCAGTTACTTTAGGAGGGCAGATTTGTTAGCACCTAAAATCTGCATGCAAGTAAACCAGACTGGCTGTCATGCCTACAGTCCTTAATTGTAAGTCTGCATAACACACTACATGCCATATTTAGATTTGGCTTGTTCAAAAGTACAGACCAAGCCTATTGGACTAGACATAGCAGAGGATTCAGCAGTGGATAAAGGAACATTCTTATGCTGTGGAGAAAACTTTGATGCATTTGTTATGCTATTAGTAGTAAGCTTGCCTTTTTAACTTCACAATTCCTCATCAAACCTTTCTTGACAGTATTTTGATACAAAACCAAAAGCAAACCAACTGATGTATTGTTTTTAAAAGAAAAAAACTGTCTTCTCCTTTTCTTCCTCTTAACTATACTGGCTTTTATTTCCTGCTTCTGTTCTGCTTAACATAAAGTTCAGTGAGCCTTGCATGAGTTTCAGCCTGTTTGTTGTTGTCCTTTTCAACATTTAAAGCAGACAAGCAACTAGTAATTCCAAGCATGTGAAAATATGTGGAAATCTATCTGTACAGCACACAGAACAGTGCTTGACAATGGGGGTTACTGAAGTCAGAGAGAGTGATGGATGATCAGGAATAGGTGTGACACTGTCTCAGACTGGATATACTGAGGAAAAAGGAGAAATGCTATACTGCATTGTTTGAAGTGCATGGATTTATTGTTAATTTTTAAACTTTTTCCTGACTTTTAAATATATATTTGAATCTTTTGTGCTTTTTTACTTGATAAATGGAACAGAAAGAAAAAAAAAAGGTGCTGAGTATGCAGTGTACTTCCTCTTGCAAAAAACTTAATATATGGTACGTGGCCATCCATTCTTTAAAGTTAAGTTATATAATTCGTTAGTCACTTGTTCTCTGTGAACAGATATATAAGCAAATCTGTTATGGGCCAGGAGCAAGGGAAATGCTCTGTAACAGGATGTAGTGTTGAATGTGTGTATCCGAAGGTGCTATAGGAGTGAATCAGATGTGAATGGAGTTACTCAGAGAAAAAGAAGTTTGTCAGAATAAATTTTTCAAATTCTTCACTGAAGAACAAAACAACCTTAAGATAATACATGTAGTGATATTGTAGCCGTGTTAGACTAAGCATGTGTCTGAAGGAAGACTGGGGGAGGTTTTATTAGACCAGCTGTTGCAGTTCAAGGAAAAAACCCAAACATATCTCCAGGCACACAAAATCTTTAAATTACGTCATGGCTGCATATATTACTGCCCAGAAAACATTGCTTTATCTGTTACTTGGGCCCATTAGGTTACAGAGTGGTTAATACAGTGGTATCACTGTTACTGTGGTGCACATGAATCTGATGACTTTCACTGCTGTGTGTCTATGCAAAATAAGTATTACGGGAGGTAAGCTGTAGCTAAAGTTGTCGACTGTGCTGAATATCCAGAAAGCTGGAACTGATCTACCTTTGTTAGGCTGCAAATTCAGTGGCACTTGTTGCCTGAGCTGGCTCAATTATGCTCTATATTTTTCCTTGCATGGTGACAGCAAAAGCAGGAGAGTAACTGTTTTGAGAAACTGATCTGACTTAAAACCAATGTTTTTATTTTGTTGAATACTTTTTTAGGCGGATAGGTTCCCTGGTTTGGTGTGCAAAAATTTGTGCTGATGGAACTGAGATGGGCGCAGAGTTGGGAATGGGATGCTGGGGATGGAAGACAGGCTGAGGACACCATTTTTGTTAGTGCTGTTTAATCTTGCAGGCCGAGTTCAGCCAAGTACCTAAGCATAAGACCTACTACATACCTGTCTGGCAAAGTGCATCTGCAGTTGCTTAAATTTAAGGATGTGCTCTGGTTCTTCAGCAGTAGCTTAGTATGGTACCTGTACTCATCTAAATTAAAGGCAAAGTTATTTTTTCTTTATGTAATATAACTCTTGCTTTATATAAGAAATAGAGTGCTTACCCTCTGATCGTTGATAAAACATTCACTGTTTTAATGTTACTGGAAGTGGAATTTTCATATCTGAGTGATTCTTGGGAAATTGTCCATTAGAGAAAGGCTTTAGCAGTTGAGATTGGTTCACATCTTTATCGAGCTTTTCATATAACAAAGGGAAAGAAATATATTTATTATTAAGTGGCTAGTATTCTCTGGAGTGAGGGAGAAAGTGTGCATGCACACACATTTAAAGAAGTGCTCATATTTTGAGCTTGTCTTGATATTCCAGAATCCAAATGTACTCTAGCAAGGGAAGTTGTTTAAGACCAATGTTTTGATACAGAAATTAAGTTAATTAGATTAAATGTAGTGAAAACAGACCAACTGAATGTCTGCAGGCAGGATGTTGCTGCTACAGGTAAACTTTGTGTGAGCAGGTACAACAAAAAAACCCCAGTCTGTGTGTCGCCAGGAGAGAATAGGTTTCCATTGTCTGCAGTGGAGTCCAGAAAAACACAAAGCACTAACTAAAGCAGTTTCTGTGCACTGTATCAAGCCTTGACACATTTTCTGTGGAGATGCAGTATCAGAAAGATCCTCACCCTGATTGAAAATGACTGCAGAAGATTACAATGGCTTATGTGCAATTTGAGCTGTTATGTTTTCTAGGTCAACAAAAAAAAAAAATGGTGGGAATAACAGACAGCAAGTGAAATTTTATGCATGAATGGATAGGTTTTCAGTGATTGCAGTGAAGAGTGACTCTTGTCATACGTATTTATCCAGTCATTGATCAATAAAGATGTAGTTTGAACTGGCAAGAAGTGTTGTCTTACAGGGTTTGCTACCCAGACATTGCGATGTGTTAGTGTATGAGAAACCTTATACCCTAATTGCGAGAGCTTCTGAAAAGTCTCTTTTCCTTGGTGCTAGAATGATTTGGAAAGAGTAAGTAGCGTGTAAGTTGAAAAAACAAATTAGTTTTAAGAAAAACTTTCATGTGTGATGAGGTGTCATCATTTACCCAACTGCATGAATGTTTTTAATTCTTAAGAATAAAATTTAGTTAGAGCTTCTGGTATTTAAGGTACAGCATAATGTATTTAAGGAACAGTGAGTGAGAACTACTTTGTGAACTGGAGAATCTGGTTTACAGTAGCATGCATAGTTTGAGTTCCCTATAAATTACTTGTATGCGTTAATTAATTTGCACTGCTTTTCTGTACTTCTAGAGAAAAGTAAATGTACTTGTTAACAGAGGTTACTGAGCTAGAGCATTAATTACTCAGCTAGGATTTATGAAACGTGATAGTGTTTGTGAGAATGTCTGTCAAGCTCAGACATGTAGTGATCGCCCATATAGGCAATGGAAAATCTGCTTTTACCAGCAGGCATGTTTTGCATACTTAATAGTATGGTTCTGACCACTTAGTGTGTGAAACAGTGAAAAACACTGGGAATAGTAAGTTGTAAAGTAATAGCTAAATGGGAATGAATGGCCCAGGTATGCCAGTCCCTTTTGTTCATCTTGAGTTGCCTCTGTACCTTATTTCGGAATAAAATGACTGACTCATTGGTGACCATAAAAACCTGTGCTGAAAATCTATGGGATAAAGGATGTTGCTGGCAGTTTAGTGGGACAGCTCCTTTCTGCCTAATTCTGCATCAATACTTAAAAAGCCAGACAGCAGGAGAGC